TTCAAGCCTATAATACATAAATGCACTGAAAACCCATAGCGATTTTACACTCCCGCCGTAAATTAATTCATTTTTTAACACAGGTGAGCGAAAGTCCATCATTTAAACAAGAGTTATTGAACGGTAATTGAGAATGTATGTAATTCAATCAACTCAGAGAGACTTAGCAATGATTCATATTTTGCAAATGAGTACAAATTTTGATAAAATAATTGAAGGGTTCAATTACCAACCTTTGGTGCTGACTTAGATTGTAGTGACGCGCTAGGAAGCAATGCGATCCAAATCCGCGCACAATTTAACTAACTAAAGTGATCTAAAAGTGCAAGAAATATAAGGCTAGAGTGCAGGTGTGAGTTTGACAGGACGAAGAAGTTAGAGAAAGTGAATGAAATAGAACTTTTAAACCTGTGGCTTGCAAAAACCGTCTAGTTTCCGCCCATTTGGGGATGTGAGTCAGGTTCGCCCATTCACTCGGCGAAGTGCCAAGTGTTTAGTTTCTTCGCCAAATGTAATAAGATCTGCAGCTCATGTGAGGATTCCAAAGGCGGTCTACATGTCGGCGATGCGCCACTAACTTTCTATAGACCACCAAGTTTTACAGGATTCAAGCTGACAGTTCCTTGAGTCAGACGGCAGAAAGAATTGTGTTCACCGATCGTGTTGGCGATCTGCTAACTGGACCTGTTGCTTGCCTTTATATACTATTTCCATCACCTCCCTTACTTTAACCTGTACAAACAACACACCATTATTTTCTCAAAGTAAAACAAAACAATAAAGGGTTTTGGGTTGCCTCCCAAACAACGCCTTAGTTAACGTCGTGGCACGACGCTAGTCCACCTTTAACTCTCACTCTTGGGGTTAGCCATAGTATCACTAGGCAAGCCCCCTTGCTGTCTCGGATTAAGGTGAGACGAGATATGACCCATTTTGGTCTCCAACTGCTTGATTGAAACAAAATGGGAGGTGACGGTCTGGCTAAGGGTAGAAATATCTTCTTTCATGCCTTTAAGCATTTTGTCTGACCGTTCAACTTTGTTGTGAATATGCGAGAAAATTTCCTTAGACCTACCATTCTCCGAGTCCTTTGGCTTTAGGCGTTCGTGGGGAGGCACATATCTGTCCTTTTCCCCATCCTTCCAATTAGGATTTCAGTCTCTCCATTCTAGATCCTTCCATCCTTCGTCTCTATTGAAACCTTGGTTACCACCTTACCTTGGGTAGTTTGATCGATAACCACCACCTTGGTTGGCTAGGAAGTTCACCTCCTCATTATATAAGGCGTCGAAATTTGCCTCCTCAGGATTTGTGCACCCGACCCCCACAACATTTACACCACGGGCACCAGCCACCATGACATTTTTGGATAAAATATCAAGCTATGTTATGATCTTGGCCATGTTTTGTTCTCTCTCATTGTCTTTTTCAACCTGCTCCTTAGATAGCTGAAATGTGACCGACGAGAACTGGTCTTCACGGGTGTACCACACCCTATTGATGGTTGTCATACCATAGAGAATTTGTGCTGCTACTGCATATGGTTGCTGCATTAAGCCTCCGGGCGAGAGTTGGTCAGCTACACCTTTGTTTACTGAGTCTAGACTCCGATAAGATTATTGAAGGAGCACATTATCAGGCAGACCATGGGTTGGTCATTGTAGCACCAGTTTTTTAAACTGGAGCCAAGTTTCGTGTAGAGGCTCTCCATTCAGACGCTTAAAGCTTTGGATGCTATCCCGAATAGTCATCATCTTCGAGGGAGGGAAATATCGCTCATTAAATGCGATGACCAACTCCTCCCATGAAGTGATCGAGTTATGTGGCAACTCAGCTAACCACTTGCATGCCTCCCCCATCAATGAGAAAGGGAATAGCCTCAACCGGACTGACTCCTGAGAGATGTTCTTGAACGAGAAAGGTCCGCACACATCCACAAAGTTTCGAAGATGTTCGTGAGGGTCTTCATGAGCCAGTCCGCTGAAAAGTCCCTTTAGTTGCAAGAGTTGCAACATGGTGCTCATTATGTGGAACACTGCATTTCCCTCGGCTAGTGGTAAATGGATGGCTCCAACACCTCCCATAAGATGGGGGCCATTGACGTTGGGCTCTTGGACATCATTGAGATTTCCGATGTCATCTTGGTGGCCTACCTGGCTACCGTTGCTACCATTAACACTCATGCTTTCTGAAATATTCACACAGCAAACAAAACAAAACTAAAAATTAGGTAAGTAGACTACAACTAAGAAGAACAAAAATTCTACTAATCTAAAAGCTCTCGAATAACACCACTCCCCGGCAGCGGCGCGATTTTGATGTTTGCGTAATCAAGACAAAACTTTCGATGCAAGTGTCTACGATCGTACAATAGTATAATAACCCAACCAAGGGTTGGTATCGTCGTCCCAAGAGAATGGTTTTGAGAATTTATAGAAAAATAAAATTAAGTTCTAACTAGTCGTAGCTAAAGATATTAACGAGTAAAAACATAGTAAATAAAGGAGGTGACACAAAAGTGTCAAATATCAAATGGGGGTTTTGTCACAAGTAAATGAAAACAACGAAATAACAACGGAATCTAAGCAATAAGAGGGGGATTCTTGGGATGTGTTCGGAATATGGGTTAATCTATATTATTGGGTACATGTTTTCGATAGAGAAGTTATAGAGTAATAGTGACTAGGCTATGCTTTATGTGGAAATAAGTTCTCTCTCGAGCAACTTACCCCGTTTCAAATGGGTTCCTCTTAGACACCCAGTTGCTGCATCAAGGCCAGCCTATGCCTTACCCCATTCACTCTCTCAAATTGAGTGTTAGGATATGGGACTAGGGCTCACTCTCTCAGGCTAAACCTCATGTCGACCCACTCTTTGGGCCATCAGTCTAGCGGTCTTGGTTTCGCGACCTCACTCTTAGGCAAGCCGAAAACACATGGGTGGCTTTGTATTTGCAACTACAAACTTGTTAAATTAAACCACAACCACTAGGTGAAATCACAATTAAACTACAAATAAACTATCAGCAAGCAAGACCCAACAAATATCTTAACCCATATTCGCTAAATCACACCCCAAGAATTGGGGTTTTTAGCCACACATCAAGAGATAGAAATTTATACCTAAATGAGTTTGCATTCAAATGGGTATGAAGATTTAAGTCTTGTAACAAGCCAAGAATGAAGAATCCAAGAGACCCAACTCCAAATCTTGAAGATGAAAACCCTTTATTTTCTTCAAATTTCCAAAAACCCTCTCAAGCTTAGAGCAAAAATATAATAAAGTACAATTCTGAAGTGAAAATTATAATAAATGTTCGGCTCCCCAAAATTAATAAAGAGTTTAGTATTTATAGACTTCACATTTGTGCTGCAGCGGATCGTTCAACGAGGTTAGTCAAAATTGCCAATTAACTCGCCGATTTGCCTTTTGGTGTAGTTCATCGCCGCCTTGCACTACAGTTCAGCATCGTCGTGCTCTGTGTCATTGGGCGACATAGTACTGCTTCATAGAACTATTTGGTGAAACGCCGACTGCTCCCTTTTCTCCGACTCGATCCCTTCCTTCAGGGCTCAGCACACTGGAATAAAAGGCGAAGTAAGGCACTTCGACGGCTCGCCAAGTGTACTCGGGGATCCTCAGGCCTTCAATTCTTCATTGTTTTCAGCCCTTTTGTCCCTTTTTGCGACGTAGTGTCCATGATTTCCTTCAAATTTCAAATACCTGAAACTTAAAGGGTTTCGTTAGATATCGAGATAAAACAAGCATTTGAGGACACTATTTCTATTAAGATAAAGCCCTAAATGAGTCCAATTTGTGGACTCATCAAAGGCATAGGCTGGTCTTCATGCGACAAGTGGGTATCCGAGAGTAAACCATTTGAAACGGGATAAGTTGGTTGAGAGAGAATTTATTCCCACATAAAGCTTAACCTAGTCACTATTACTCTATAAACTTTCTGTCGAAAGCGTGTACCCAATAATCTAAATTAACCCGTATTCCTGTCACATCCCAAGGATTCCCTCTCATTAGAAACCCTTGTTGATTTTGCTGTTTTTACTTACTAGTGACAAACCCCCCTCCCTCATTGTTAAATTGACACTCTTGTGTCCCCCGTTTTCAATTTATGATGTTTTTACTCGTTAATATCTTTAGCTACGACTAGTTAGAAGTAAATTTTATTTTTCTATAAATTCTCAAAACCACTCTCTTGGGACGATCCCAACCCTTGGTTGGGTTATTATACTATTGCAAGATCGTAGACACTTGCATTGGAAGTTGTGTCCTTGATTATGCAAAACATCATATTTCTACCATGAAAGAGAGGCAGATAAGCCTCAACAATACTCAGATGAATTTCACGTATTGGGATTATATCCAAGCATTTGATAAAGTGCTTTATTATAATAATGATAGACATAAACACACTTGGTTTATAAAGGTGTGCAGAAAGATATTTGCAGAATCAATCCCAAATTGGTTTATAAATTGGTGGTCATACCACAGTCCTACAGTTCAAATTTTACTAGACCAATTCCTCAAGTTATACAAAGAATGGACCAAAGTGTCACTTGACCTGAACAAATTGTATCATGCAGATAATATCTGCTGGTTAGAAAAAATAGATCAAATCTATTTCTATATCAAATTTTCAATACCGTGGATTCATAAAGGGACTCCTGAAGTAGGTTTCACAGAAGAAAATATTCCTTGCCTATACAGGACTGATTACAACAACTTTTGGGACAAACTAATGAAACAAGATCCCAAAACAAAACAATTAATTGGTTATGGAATTACCCGAAAATAAAGTTGAGCATTGGAAAGCCAAGTTTATAGATGGCCTTCCCCCTTTATTTGCCGAAGGAGTTCGAAAAGCCCTAAGAGGTAGTTATGGTGAAATCCCTTATAAGGATTGTACTTATGGAAAGCTTATAGGAACTTGCACACAAGAAGGTTTGAACTTTTGCAATGAACTACAAATGTCCAGATAGCTTAAAATGGATAAGCTTAAAGAGAGATCTCAATTAGGAGACTTTGGCACCCTGTTCGGTCTACCCGATTCTTATGCTAAAAGTAGCAATAAGAGCAGGTATTATAAGTCCTCAAGAGCTGAAGGTTTGCATAAGAAAAATGAGATCTAGACATAGGTCTAAGGATGAACGCGAAGCTAGAAAAAGCTCCCATAGATCTCATAGATTTACCAACGATAGATCGGGACGAGATCTTTCCAAGGTAAAATGTTACAAGTGTGGACAACTTGGCCATATAACCCCTAATTGCAGGTTGAATAAGTTAAAAAATTTAGAACTTGATGAAGAGACCTATGATAAGGTCTATGGCTTGTTATACACCTTAGGATTTGAGGATAATTAATATTCTGAATATGGTTATGATATTGAACTTCTTGATGCGTCTGACAATGATAAAAATTGTGATAACTTGCACCACTTGTAAAGGTGATACTTGTACTTGTGAAGATGATGAAATTTTAAAACTTCAATCGCAATTTCAAGACTTCAATATGAACATTATCACTTCTGATAACGTGATTGAAATTTTAAAGGAAGTCAATGATAACCAGCTTCGAGAAAAAATCATTAATCTGGCTACTTCTAACAAAGTTAGTTTAAGTTTTTCTAAACCTTTTGAAAACAAGAAGAATGATTTAAATGATTTTGAATATTCAACTCCTTATTCTTTAAAAGTGGTTGATGATCGTCTTATAAAAAAGAATGTTTTCCTGAAAGAGACTCTTCTTTCGATGATTTAAAGAATGAAGTGGAGAATTTAAAAAGAGAGATCAAATTTCTAAAGCAAAACCAATTGATTTGTGATCATAGAATTACTGAGATTGAGATAAATAATTTTGAAGACAGGATTTCCAAAAATAAAGGGTATTTCAGAAAATCATATTGAAAACGGACCTATTAATCATGACCCTAAAAGGGATATGTTCTTGGGAATTATGCAAATTATTACTGCTCATAAATGGTATGTTAAATGTACTATTTTAATTGATAACAATTTTTCGATCACTAACATTGCCATGATTGATAGTGGTGCAGATGTTAGATGTATTCAAGAAGGCTTAGTAGCTACAAAATATTTTCAAAAAACTACTCATATGGTTAAGTCTGCATCAGGACATGCTTTAGATATAAAGTATAAATTGCCTAATACAAAAAATTGCCAGAATAAAGTCTGCATTCCTCATTTCTTCTTTCTAGTCAAGAATCAATTATATCCTTCAATCATACTTGGAACTCCGTTTATAAATGCTATTTATCCATTTACAGGCATTAATTCAAAAGGATTTTCTGCCACTTATAAAAATAATGAAATAAGTTATTGTTTTGTTACAGATCCAGTAACCAGAAATATTAATGCTTTGATTGATATGAAGCAGAATCATATGGATTCTTTACAGTTAGAATTATTTAGTATGAATATTTTCGATTCTCTGAAATCGACTAAAGTGAAGGAAAAAATTAAATTAATTTCCGAACAAATTGCCGTCGATATTTGTGCTGATCACCCCAGTGCTTTTTGGAATAGAAAAAGGCACATTGTGACTCTTCCATATGAAGAAAGCTTTTCTGAAGATGATATCCCTACTAAATCTTGGCCCTGTCAAATGAACGTTGAGTTAGTAGAATTTTGCAAAAATGAGATTGATAATCTTTTGCAAAAGGATTTGATTAAACCTTCTAAATCCCCTTGGTCTTGCACAACGTTTTATGTTAATAGTGCTGTTGAAAGGGAACGAGGTGACCCTAGACTAGTTATTAATTATAAACCTTTAAACAAATATTTAAAATGGATTAGGTATCCTATTCCAAACAAAAGAGATTTATTATCTAGATTATACGATCCCAATATATTTTCAAAATTTGATTTAAAATCAGGATATTGACAGATTCAAATATTTAAAGGGTATGCTTATAGAATAGCTTTTAATATCCTGTTTGAAAAATATGAATAGAATGTCATTCCATTTGGTTTGAAAAATGCCCCATCTGAATTTCAGAAAATCATGAATGATATATTTAATCCATATTTGGATTTTATCATTGTTTATATTGATGATATTTTAGTATTCTCTAAAACATTTGAAATGCATATTAAGCATTTGGATATTTAAAAAAAAATTATTATACAAAATGGTTTAGTCATCTCAAAACCAAAAATGAGTTTATTCCAAACTGATGTTCGATTTCTAGGACATCATATTTGTCAAGGGAAAGTTATCCCTATTCAAAGATCTATTGAATTTGCGTCACAGTTTCCTGATGTTATCACCGATAGAACTCAATTGCAAAGGTTCTTGAGAAGCTTAAAATATATATCCCCTTTTTATAAAAACCTTTCTCGAGATTTGACCCCTTTATATGACAGGCTGAAGAAGAATTATAAATCACCTTGGACTAATAGTCATTCCTCTTTGGTAAAGGATATTAAAGTTCGAGTTCAATCCTTACCTTGCTTAACTCTTGCTAACCCTGCTTGGCAAAAAATTATTGAGACAGATGCGTCTAATATTGGTTATGGTGGGATATTGTAACAAATAAATCCCAATGATAAAAATGAATATCTTATCAAATTTCATTCTCGAAAATGGAGTGAGGCCCAGAAAAAATTTGCTACTGTGGCCAATGAAATGCTAACCATTATTAAATGTGTATTGATTTTTCAGGATGGTTTATATAATTAAAAGATTTTAATAAAAACTAATGCTCAATCCATCAAATATATGTTTAATAAAGATTTTAAGCATGATGCTTCAAAATTAATATTTGCAACGTGGCAAGCTCAATTAGTCCCTTTTGATTTTGAAATTCAATATAAAAAGAGAGTTGATAATTCCTTACCGAATTTCTTATACAGAGAATACCTTCAATAAAATGTTTTACGAAGCATCTTTTGATAAAAGAACTCTCATTCCTATTGTTAAGGTAATTATATTACCAAGATATCTGAAGGGTCTTCTTATTGAAAAACTTATTAATGACATTATAGAAGAAGATTTTGTTTTTTCTATACATGATTATTCAGAATTTGATATTTCTATACATGATTATTCAGAATTTGATATTTCTATACATGATTATTCAGAAGAAGTCAGAGATGATCTGACCGATTTTTACTCTAAATGATTAAAGATTGTTATATATGCAGGATGGATCCACCATGGATTCATGCTAAAGGTAGGGGAAGGGGAAGATCAGCCCCAGGAAGATCATCCCAAGGACCGTCATACAGATCCACAGCTAATTCACAATCTTATCAAGGATCGTCATACAGATCCTCATCAAACTCCCCGGTCATACAAATGGGAAGAAGAACTTTGATAAATAAGAAGATTTCTTCCCAGGAATAATCGTCATCCAGTTCAAAGAAATCTGTTAATTTGGAAGACATTCCAGAAGAGAGTCCGTTGTACGGCCACATGCAGGCATACTTGGCCACTCAAAAGCAAAAAGATACTTTTGCTTCCATCACCAAAGAGGATACTGATGATATCAAATCCTACGAAAAATTACAGAAAAAGAAATGATATTTCTTTAAGAAAACTCTGAACTTCAGAGAAAAAATGAACCATGGAAGATATTCCAAATGTATCTAATCAATGGATTATATTATCCGGTTGAGTGATAAAAAACTCGGTCATATTATGAAGAAATCTTGATAAGTTCATGAAGTGCAGAACTTCAGCACTTCTCCGGTTCAGGTTATAACCCAAATGAGAACGTTTATAACTTCTCAAAAATCATTATTAAAAAAATTATATCTGTTGAAGTCTGTGGTATTTCGACCATGAAATAGAGACAGATAAGCCTCAACAATAATAGGATGAATTTCACATATTGGGATTATATCCAAGCATTTGATAAAGTGTTTTATTATAATAATGACAGACATAAACACACTTGGTTTATAAAGGTGTGCGCAAAGATATTTGCAGAACCAATCCCAAATTGGTTTATAAATTGGTGGTCATACCACGGTTCTACATTTCAAATTTTACCAGAATAATTCCTTAAGCTATACAAAGAATGGACCAAAGTGTCACCATGCAGATCATATCTGTTGGTTAGAAAAAATAGATCAAATCTATTTCTTTATCGAGTTTTCAATACCGTGGATTTATAAATGGACTCCTGAAGTAGGTTTCACAGAAGAAAATATTCCTTGCCTATACATTACCTATTACAACAACTTTTGGGACAAACTAGTGAAACAAAATCCCAAAACAAAACAATTAATTGGTCAAGAGCTTTTGGATATCATTAGTGAAAGAATAAAATATTATAATAAAATTCCTCAAAGGGTGATTGTTGATGATAACTCAGTGAGGCATATTGCTAGAATGATCTCCTTTCAAGATGGAGATAATGAAAGCATGATCAATGATTATTTAGAAGAAGTAAAAAGAAATTTACTTCAAATCAATAAATCAGACACTTCGATGCGGAGTGAAACAAGCAACGATGATATCGTAGAAGAGTCACAACAGGCTGAAACAGACAATATATTGTTTACAACCGAACTACAAGATGCAGAAGAATTTTTGCAACAATTGAAAGCCATGGATAAGAAACATGGCAAAGAAAAGACATAACGAAGATGGCATAGTAAAAGCTTGAGCCCACTTAACAATAGATAAACTATTACCTTGAGCCCTCTCAATAGTAGATACACTGTTTACTAACAGTAAATACACTGTTTAGGGACCCCGATAGTGGGACCCCTTTACTGTACATAGATTCTTTCTGTTTTTCTTTTTGTCTATAAAAGCTTTCATTTTCTTAGTAAAGAGACATCAAAAAAATAAACACACACTCTCTCTCATAGACAGTTGTAAATCTTTGTAAAGAAATCCCTTTGTAAGCACTGTTCCGATTATAAATAAATATCCGGTATGTTCTTTAGATCTTGGACTTTGGTGACGACAATCTTTAAGGTATTTTTATTTTTAGTCTTCTTTTAGCTCTGTCTCTCCTAGCCTGGAGTATGTCCGGCTAAAGATCTCATATCTATGTTGAATAAAAAACTTCTCTCCTATATAGACCATGAACGATCTAAGCTTTATTAAAATATAAAGGAATTTTGTTATGGGTTCTCAACTTGTTTCTGAGATCGAGATATAGTCGTATCTAGCACTACTCTTATTGGCTTTGCCTTAGTGGCTCTGTCTGGTTAGCCATCGTTCATAGCCTGATAAGGGGTTGAAAAAAGGCGCTTTATACCCGGTTAGAGCTATCAGACACATGGGCTCAATAAGAAGTACGCATTAGATCCTTGACAGACCATTTGCTCAGGTAAAATAACTCCATGCAGTCCGAGAAGCTATATAAAAATTCTTGTGTATTTCAATTCTTATGCAGTGCGGACTACCGCTAGCTTAAGGATTCAAAGTTGCTAGATCTGATTGGCGGATTACCGCCAGTCGCCGATCCTGTAATCTTAAAGTTTTGGGTGAGCATATGATCTCTCTTGATAAAAAAGTTGATGAATTAACTATTTTAATAAAAGATATAAAGGCTGATATAGGTAAGACAAATGTGGCTTCTACTTCTGAAAGTAAAGCCGAGGTCGTTCCTACTCATGTTCAAAGACCTCCTGAGATTCAAGATTTTAAATTTAGATCATTAAATGATTTTGAAGAACTTTTTATCTGGTATCAGAGCCTAGAACTTTTATGGTATATATGATTATGAGGTGAACTATTTAACATAGATATGATCTTTGTCTTATGGATCCGGGAGAAGCCTATACTAAAAGTACTAGACTTGAAGAGATTGATGTACCTCCAAACCTTGATTTGTTAAACAAATGGACTATTCCTAAAGTCCCGATTAAAACTATTTATGATTTCGGTTGGTTTGATAAAATGTCTTCTAAACAATTGATTAAAACTAAAGAGAAATCTTTAGCTTTGAATGTGTTTAGACAGACTATTTGGTTGCTAAACGAGCGAGATATTAATTTTTATAAAAATCAGTATAACTACCTACATAGTGGTATGGTTCGGATCACTTTTAAGCCTCTAACCCTTAAAGAGTTACCCGAAACATTTTTAGCAGCTTTAAGAGATGCTAGAAATTTAAATTTTAGATAATCTCTTATGGGTTTTATTGAATCTACGGTGGCCTATGGTCCCGTATATTTTAATACTCAACCAAATTTGAAGTTATCTCTTACTGATGTTAATATACTTGATGTTTTAACATTAAATGTTAAAACCCATGGTTATAATTATGTGCATGGTTCATAACTCATAAGTTTATCTTATAGAATTTATATCAAATTGTTATCTACTCTTAATCCTAGATGTAAATTATATGATACATCTGATCAAACTAAAGTATCTTTTTGCTTTTGAGTGGCCAAGTATGCTTGCATATGACTGTAAAACAGACTGTTTTCTGGATTGTCTTCCAAATTCACAGATTGCTTTGTACTGGATGAAGATTATTCCTGGGAAGAAATCTTCTTATTTATCAAAGTTCTTCTTCCTATTTGTATGACCGGGGAGTTTGATGAGGATCTGTATGACGATCCTTGATAATATTGTGAATTAGTTGTGGATCCGTATGACGGTTCCTGGGATGATCTTCCCGGGGTTGATCTTCTCCTTCCCCCTCCTTTAGCATGAATCCATGATGGATCCATTCTACATACATAGCAATCTTTAGTCATTCAGTGTAATAATTGGTCAGATTATCTCTGACTTCCTATGAATAATCATGTATAGAAAAATAAAAATCTTAATAATCATGTATAGAAAAATCAAAATCCTCTTCTATAATGTCATTAATAAGTTTCTTCAATAATAAGACCCTTCAGATCTCTTGGTAATACAATTACCTTTAGAATAGTAATGAGAGTTCTTTTATCAAAAAAGGCTTCGTAAAACATTTTATTGAAGGTATTCTCTGGATAACAAATGTGGTAAGAAATTATCAACTCCCTTTTTGTATTGAATTTCAAAATCAAAAGGGGCTAATTGAGCTTGCCACCTTGCAAATATTAATTTTGAGGCATCATGCTTAAAATCTTTATTAAACATATATTTGACGGATTGAGCATCAGTTTTTATTAAAACCTTTTGATTGTATAAATCATCCTAAAACTTCAGTACACATTTAACAATGGTTAACATTTCATGGGCCACAATAGCATATTTTTTCTAGGCCCCACTGTATTTTCTAGAATGAAATCTGATAAGATATTTTATTTTATCATTGGGATTAATTTGTTTCAATATCCCACCGTAACCAATTCAAAGATCAATCGACTTTGCATCAAAATTTCCTTATATTATCACTGATAGAACTCAATTGCAAAGATTTTTAGGGATTTTAAATTACATATCCCCCTTTTATAAAAATCCTTCTCGTGATTTAGCCCCTTTATATGACAGGCTGAAAAAGAATCATAAATCACCTTGGACTGATAGTCATACCACTTTGGTAAAGGATATTAAACTTCGAGTTCAATCCTTACCTTGTTTAACTCTTGCTAACCCTTCTTGGCAAAAGATTATTGAGACTGATGCGTCTAATATTGGTTACGGTGGGATATTGAAACAAATTAATCCCAATGATAACAATCAATATCTTATCAGATTTCATTCTAGAAAATGGAGTGAGGCCCAGAAAAAATATGCTACTACGGCCCATGAAATGTTAACCATTGTTAAATGTGTATTGACGTTTCAGGATGATTTATACAATCAGAAGTTTTTAATAAAAACTGATGCTAAATCCGTCAAATATATTTTTAATAAATAGTTTAAGCATGATGCCTCAAAATTAATATTTGCAAGGTGGCAAGGTCAATTAGCGCCTTTTGATTTTGAAATAGAATACAAAAAGGGAGTTGATAATTCCTTACTGGATTTCTTATCCAGTGAACACCTTCAATAAAATGTTTTATGAAGCCTTTTTGGATAAAAAGAACTCTCATTACTATTTTAAAGATAAATATATTACCAAGAGATCTGAAGGGTCTTAATATTGAGAAACTTATTAATGACATTATAGAAGAGGATTTTGATTTTTCTATACATGATTATTCAGATTTTGAACTTTATTCTAGAAATTTTTTGTATTAGGCAATTTATATTTTATATCTAATGCATGTCCTGATGCAGACTTAACCATATGAGTAGTTTTTTGAAAATATTTTGTACGCATTAAGCCTTCTTGAATACAGCTAACATCTGTACCACTAATAATTTGCATCATTCCCAAAAACATATCCTTTTTGGGGTCAAGATTAATAGGTTCTTTTTCAACATAATTTTCAGAAATACCTTTATTTTTTGAAAACATGTCTTCAAAAT